TTTGTAGATCAGAGAAATAAATGTATTGAATATGCTGCTCTATGAAGGTTTTTTTTTAAAAAAATAATAATAAATTCTAGCTAAGGTCCTATTTTTTGAGTTTCAGAGTAGAATTGAGCGTATTTAACAGAGCGGACCACAACAACTCAAAAGAACATGTCTAAGCAAAATACAAGAAACAAGAAAATCCTAATACTACAAAGTAATTTAAAATGCAATTTGCCATTTTTTATTCTCTTTTGAGATCGGTATCTTTCTCTATTACTAGGAATATATCGATTTGCTTCATAAGTATCATCTTATCACACATGTATGACCATAATCTAATTGAAATTTCCTCTTTAATCGCGTCGTATCTCAATATTTGCATGCTACTCTCTCTATCTCGAAATCCATCAAAACGGTGCTAATAAAATGTACTAAATTTAAGCATACTTATGCTATGACCAATTTGGATCGGGGTGTTGATTTTCACCTTTTATGTTTAGATATAAAACAATTATAATTCTCTAGTGAGAAGCTAGTATTATCATACACAAGTATTAGGCCATGTTCTTTTGAGTTGTATTTTCCTGCTATGCTCTATTCTATTTCGTTCATAATAATAATAATAATAATAATAATAATAATAATAATAATAATAATAATAATAATTGTTCTATTTTACTATGCTTTGTTCTGCTCTGCTTTGCTTTACTTTCCTTTGTTGGGTGGTAATTAGATTCTTAAATTGTTGCAAGGGAGTTTATATCATAAAGAAAAAAAAAAGGTGGAACCTCAAGTTTGAAGGTATGTTGACGACAATTGATAACAAAGCAACTGACGATACGATATGTTTTTAAAAAGTTATGATAAAAAGGTCATAATTTCCCACTCGATCAGCAAGATAATTCAGATTGCAACTCTCTTAGTTACTCGACCTAATAGCCTAAGAAACCAGCAAAATCAATACCTAATTTTGTAACAACAATTTTTTTATATTATTGTTACATTGCATGTTGTTGACTTCTTGTTATATGAACAATATTTTTTGCTACAACTATTAACTAAATTGATTTTCCCTCTTAAAAATTAATTAATCATACTTATTACAAATTATTCCGTACCAATTAACCTAATTAATACATAAATCTAATATGAAAAAAATCTCTCTCTTTTTACATATTTTTAAATTTGACTTTTGTTTGAGACAATCATCGTTGTCCAATTTATAAGAACTTTTAAAGGCGGAGGGTGTGCTCTGTATTTATATAAGAGGTATAAAGTATGGCCCATATGGGATTTCCACCATCCTCAAGACAATGACCATTATAATTATAACTTGGAGCATTTTCCATGTGTATTTCGTTGAAGCAAATTAATTGATGAAAAACAAACATTATTGTCCCACCTTAGCTTGTTTAATTCAGTGTAAAACAAAATAAATACGTTGGTACAATTTTTAGAAATGATTTAGGCATATCAAAAATTGATTTTGACACACCTTCATGCAAGCAGATCGTTGAAAATTATGCTCTCAAATGGAGTTGTATCAAAATGATATTTTTTTTTTGGTGTGCCTAAATCAGTTTCCTACAACTTTTAGAAAGAATACGTCCTAATTTTATTTTATCTAAGTGCTTTTATTTTTGTTTTAATGTGAAAAATGCTACAAAGTCCTCCGCATCATTTAAGAATCTAAAAATTAATGTGAAATAAGTCAAACTAATTAAACATCAACTATATACACCAATTTACCCATGATTTTGTTATACATTCTAAATTAATAGTCCGGACGAACTATTTTCTTTTCAAATCTAGTCCGTACTAATTTTAAAAATGTACTCGTACTACTATATTTAAAAAATTCTTCATCTAGAAATACTCATAAATGAAATCCCTCAATTCGTGGCGTCTATTAATATGCAGTGAAAGAACCCAACTCGTCGGTTAAAAGCCATACTTAATTTGACCTTATTAACAAAAATCCACCTTTAAAAACATAATCAACTTTAATTAAAGAAAGGGATTCTGTACAGTTGATAAGTAGCCACTAATCAATCAAGTCGAATTGTTGTTTACTACACATTGTATTAAAAAGTGGCTACATCTTCACTATTTACCCCCTTTTTACCTTAATTACTCGATTCTTTCCCATTAACTTCACCATGTGTAAACCCTAATACTTCCATCACTAGATTCCCAATTAACTTGCTGCATTTGATTTTTTCACGATCGTCACTTGTCTTGATCATATTTATTTGTCTCAGTCGTGTAAAAAGATAGAATATCATCTTTCGAGACTTCTTATTTTATAGGTAAAATATAAGGTCTTATCGAGCCAGAATTATTGTCTCCTTTGTAGAAATTGAACTCAATCTCAAAATTAAATTCAATGCGCTCTGTGATCCACCGAATAAACTTAGCTTGGGGTTCTTTATAGAATATATAAGTATTTTCATATGTCGTATTATAAAGGAAAAATGGAAACTAAAAATCCAACCTTTGGCCGGTCTGACAATAAAAATCCAACCTTCGTTTAATCTCACAAAAATCCAACCTTTATACCCCACCTTCTTTGACAGATCCATTACCTTTTGATGACCGTTTTTTGTAAGTTATGTGCCACGTGTCAGGCGTTAATTGGTCAATTATTTTTTTAATCATTAAAAAAAAAACCATCAGCCACCCTTCCTAGCCCCCGCACCACCCCAGCCACCTCCCCCACTTACCGGCAACTACCCCCCAGCCCAACCAGCCCCACCATCGGGGTCGTCGGATTCCGGCGATCTCCCCCCACCCCCCCACCCCTTGCCGCAACCACCCCAACCACCAAAACCCCCTTCGAATCTATACCTAACCACCACACCAAACACCCAATTCAACCAAATCCACCAAACATCCCCCTCTCCCCCTCCCTCCCTTACGCAGCACAACCCCCCTCTCTCTCCCCCTCCCTGCCCGGCGCACAACCTCCCTCCCCCCTCCCTCCCCTTAGCGAAACCTAGCCCCTATCAAAACCCCAATCGACGCGCGACCTTGGGTATGGGGTTGGTGGTTTCGAACCTGCGTATGGGGTTGGTGGTTTCGAATCTGGGTATGGGTATGGGGGTAAGTGGTGGTGGAAGAGGTTATGGGTACGGTGAGGGAGATGCTGGGGTGGTGGTTATGATGGGCGACCCTAAACCGACCCCATACCCTATCTCGGACCGCCTCGTTTAGGAGGATTGCGTGAGGCTTGTGGTTGGGCGTTGGTTTGGGAGGAGAGATAGTGGAGGAGGAAGAAGAGGGTTTCGGTTTCGGGTAGGGTGGGTATGTGGTGGCAGAGGTGGTGGACTGGCGGTGGTGTAGAGAGGAGAGAGAAAGAAGAGGAGTGAGAATTAAAAAAAAAAATTAACCTGTTTAACAGGTTAAGGTCAAATGGATCTGTCAAAGAAGGTGGGGTATAAAGGTGGGATTTTTGTGAGATTAAACGAAGGTTGAATTTTTATTGTCAGACCGGCCAAAGGTTGGATTTTTAGTTTCCATTTTTCCTATTATAAATATATTAAAGATGTTTATTTTAAAAAGATCTTTTTACAGATTAAACATGAAAAGAGAGAAAAAACGTGTTGAGGGCAAATATGTTGGTATATAGAGCCATATTGAAGATGCTATATAGGCCGAGTTTCATCATAGTAATAGAGAAAATATATGCGCATAATAGTCTCTTCTTAGTTGTAGGATATGCAATTTGTAAAAATAATATATTTGCATGTCTTGTTAATACCTTAATATAATTGCTCATTGTAACCATTAGATATTCATCAATGGAAACCACTCTAATAACAATGTTTCACATATATATTCTAACTATTAGTTTTAACATCAGTCTCATTCTCTTCACATTAAATTAATAATATTCGGTAAAATTAAGTTTATCAGCAAGCTAAATTTTTAATCACTAAAATTAATTTAAATTCATTAGCAAAAAAAAGTTTAATTTTAGAAAAATATTAGATGAAGAGAAAAGACCATATTCTCTTCACTTAATTCAAATAATATTTAGTAAAAAATAATTCTAGTTCTATAAAAATAAGTTGAACAACAAAAATATTTATTTTATTTTATTTTTTACAAAAATAATTTAATTTCAATAAAATTATTTTCAATTTAATATCAATAATTTCAATTCGGCAAAAATACGACGAAGAGATTACAACCTTATACAGAACAACATGACATACATAGTTATATATCCTCATCTGTTTTTTTTACTCAATTTGTTTCTTTTATCATGCTTGCCAATACAAAACTTTAATGATCAATAACTTTAATTCTCCACAAGTAAAAATTATTAAATTTATATATAATGATAGTACTTATTGAGACGAATTCAAAAAGATCTCTCATGAATATGTTTTTCCTTATATATTGTTCACAAAAGATGGTCAAAGAAGGGGTGGTGACTAATGTAAAAGTCAAAATGGGTCAAGTAAAAAAGAACGGAGGAAGTACATGGAATGATTTCAAAATGTTAACTTCTTTGATTGTTTTTCAACTCATTAATCATTATTATACACTTGTGCTTTTTATGGCCATTTTTTTTTTAAAGAACTTTTTATGGCCATTTTTATATAGACATTTACTCAGAAACCACATAATTAAAAATGTTAATGATTAAAAATGTAATTTAGACAACATAAATACATTAAATACAACACAACTAATAATAAACAAAGCAAGTATGTTTTACTCCTTTGATATTACTCTAAATTTCGTTGAAACATTTCTCTATTCATATTTGTCAATACATGATATCAGTACAATCACATTTATCTATCTCTAATAATCAATCCATAATGACTATGAAATACAGTAATATTACAAAAGTATCAATAGAGACAAATCTTATAAGACCCCACTACACACAAATATATTTTCATAAGTATAAACTATTAAAGAAAGTCAAAGTAAATTTGTATAAATGATACAAAAATCAAACCGTTATATAAAACACGAGTATTTTGTATTTAAGTTTTAATTTCCTTTCAATCCTTCAACACACCTTTGCTTCCTTTAATAAGTTGAGTACAATGAGAGCCCACTCTCCCCCACTCTCCTCCACCGCCCACTCTTCTTCACTCATCTCTCTCTTTCTCTCTCATTCTTCATAGTCCTGACTCCCCCATTTATAAAAGCAAAATTCTTCCCCTTTCCAAATTTCTAACCTCCCAATTTTTATATCTTCCTTGCTTTTTTATTTCCCCCTTTTAATCATCATATTATATTTTCATCATGAATAATAATACCAATAATAATAATAATAATCCCTTCTCAAATTTCTATCTCAAATGGTCTAAATTCAACTCTCTTCCTCATTCACCTTCCCCTTCTTCATACCTTTTCTACAATAATAACAACAACAACAACAACAATTATAATTATCCTAATTACTCCAATAATAATATCAACAATACTAATTTTTACTACCACAATAATAATATTAATAATAATAATATTCCAACACCGCCCTCTTCTCCTCCTCTCAAAGAAGCCCTCCCTCTACTAAGCCTATGCCCTTCAACCATGGACATAGTCGATGACAACAACAATTTCATCAATCAAAACTCGGCTCGACTCGGATCGTCAAAAAGCACCAGCTTAGAGGAAGAAGACGAAGACGAAGACGAAACCGTTACAGTAGCTTTACACATAGGGTTACCAAACCCTAGTGCAGCTGATCTCGCTTCCATTCTATCATCTCCTTCCAACACTAATAATAATTATCATACTAATAATAGTATGATTACTGAAGAAGATGGAGATTGTAATGATAATAATAATGAAAATGAAGAAACAGAAGATTTTGGGCATCCTTTTTTAAGCAGGCTTAATAAAGGACAGTATTGGATCCCTACTCCTACCCAGATTTTAATTGGTCCTACTCAGTTTTCTTGTCCTGTTTGCTTCAAAACCTTCAACCGTTACAACAACATGCAGGTCAGTCACTTTCCTCTCTTTTCTTTATTTATTTAATTAATCCCGATCACGTTTCAGAACGTAAACTGTCAGATCGAATCTCGTCTACATCATTAACCTTTCGATCTAGCCTCTACCTGTAGAGGCAAACTGTTTTCAGAATAATTTTTATTTTTTTTTAAAAAAAGTGTTCTAAAAATACATGCATTCGAAATTAAATTTTAGTGAATTGAGGTTTGAATAGAGGAAATCACGGCATAAGATTGATTTGAGATTAAATTTAGAGGACAATTATGCATGGATTAGGGGTAATTGTTTAATTTAATTTTGGAGATTATGTTTGCCTAAACCTATAAATCTATACAAATATTTAATTTAATAACTGAATCTAGCTAACTAGACAGACCATATATTAAAATTATATACTTCCTCCGTTCTTTTTTTATCGCATCACTTACTACTTTAGGAAGTTTACTTATTATTGCATCATTTCCTTTTTAGGATAACAAATATCTATGTTAACACTGCAAATACCCAACATACCCTTACTTTTTCACACTTACTTTTTATTTTATCTTACATTACATGGACAATTTTGTATTTTTACGTTTCTCTCTCTTACTTTTTCCCACTATCAAATTTTGCTTCCAAAACCCCTATGATGCAATAAAAAAAAACGGAGGAAGTAATTCAATTCATATAATTTAATAAATGTGATTGAACAAGACAAGCCAATGTTCTTTCTGCTGTATGTAAATAGGAAGGAATAGGATTGAGTGCTTGGGAGTTTGTGCTAATCTTATTGATACACACAGTAGTAGTAGTACTATTCTTCTGATTGTGTCAGTTTGCTGGGTCAAAACTCAACATTATTTCAACCTCTGTCTCCTTTCTCTTATTTTCTCTCTCCTCTTTCATTCATTCAATTCCATGAACACCCATTAGTCCTTTCTTCTTAACTTGTATGAAGAATTTAATAAATAGTCTTCACATAATTGCATGTCATGAACAATACTGAAACCCTCTAGATTCAGTTGTCACGTTATTAATACGTTACTAGCTGACTTTCTATTGTTGTGGTTACGATATCAGTGTACATACTACGTACTCCGTAAGAATTAATTCTGAACAGAGAGTATATATATATGTGTGTGATGTCGTCGAGTTGAATTGGGAGGTTGTGGGTGAAATAGAGTTTATGTGTAGTTGTTTTCAGGGCAATAGGATCATGAAGATAGTTTTGAGTGGGAAGCAGAATCTTGGATTATCCAACACATATATTGGTAATCTTTCATCTGCATAAACTACTTTCTCTAGCTAGTTACAATAAGATCCCAACATTTAAATAAACAAAATTCTATTCTTTTTTTTGAGAAAAAAAAAATAAGGTAAAATTATTTTGTATTTATTTTTCCTTCTTATATCTCTGTCAATGATAATTGCCTTCCAATGATACCCTACTTTTCCAAGGGCAACTACCCTTTCTTGAAATTGAAAGAGGCTAAAAGGGACAAAATCAAGCACCTAAAACTTGGCAAATTCTACTAAAATTCATCTCATCCTTTTGTTTTGAATTATTTTTGTCCATTCCAATGTCTTGTTCATGATGCTTTCTTAAATTCTAACCATATAAAGAATGTTGTGCAATGTGCTTTGATTCCACAAAATTATAGGAATAATTAAGAAGTATCGATAGGGACGACGTCTTAGCTCATTATATATCACACATAAATGAAAATTTAAATTTCCGATGAGTTGAAAATAAAGTAGTTTATCTGGTGAAGGATAAATTTTTACAATTGAATGTAATAAAAAATAATAAACAATGAAAGGGTATCGATTAAGGGTTTGAGCTCTAACCTTGAGGCGGTGATATATACCGTGTCAACATGTCTTGTCATTGAGTTTAGTTCACTATTTATATCTTACCTTTAAGAGATTAGGGTTGTGAGGGAGAGGGCATAGCCACATGAGGTATAAATCTTACCTTAGTTAAGTTGGAACTAGAAATGCCGATCCCTAAAACCACAAATTACAAAAATACTACACACGAACTATCTATAAATTGCACCTAAAACTAGATAATTTATTTATGACTACCGTATTTTGAACTTAATTAACCTAAACATCATACCGGTAGATGAAGTAGTATTATACAACTAACATTGACGACTTGAATTAAATTAAGCCAAATTAAAACTTAATTGAGTTAAATAAACCTAAACTAAACTTGGCGCAAATGATCCATTGGCCACCTCTTCCATTTCCCATTTCCTCAATTATGATGTGAACCTTCTAGCTAGTTTTCCAACTAATGTTCTACCTTCCTTTACATGTTCAAGATAGAATTTTGAAACTAATTTCTTTAATTTCAGACCCTTTTTTTTGGCTTACTTCCCCTATCTTTCCAACAAATAATAGTGGATTTTTAAAGTATATCTTTGACTAGAACTATTACTCATTACATGAAACTTAAAATTAGTACGAAAAAGAAAAATAATGATGTCTATTCAAATTGTACTTCACTAAAAATTATAAAAATACAAGTTGAATTGGTGGTCAAATTTTGTACTACGTATAATCTTATCCATGAAAAATCATATTAAAACAAATTGAAACTATCATAATTTGTAGACAAAAGGATTGCAAAATAAAGAAACATATACTTTCAAAAAAAAAATCTTCTCTTTAAATGATGGTTTCAAAACTCTTAATCATACTTTCTATAAAATATATAATTGACTATATATTTTCAATTTATAATGATACCAATGTAAGAAGTGTGTAATATATAGTATTGTGAATTTGTGATAACTACTTTTATACTCTCTTATTTGTTGAATAAAAGTGTCACTTCTATACATGATAACCTTATACAATTATGTGATAACTTTTGTATACACATTTAACTATGATCGATATATTATATTGTTTGTATGGATGTTACGTTGATAGAGTATAAAACATATTCCTGGACCATCTCAAGTCTCAACCAAAAACTTAAACTAGTGGTTGAGGTCCAGGAATATGTTTTATACTCTATCAAATGTATATGATTGTTCTTAATGGAGTAAGAAAACATATAGTTTTTGGCCTATTGATCGACTTAATTATCACTAAAATGTTGTTTTGTATATGTTTGTAGATGCATATGTGGGGGCATGGATCTCAATACAGGAAAGGACCAGAGTCATTGAGAGGCACCCAACCAACAGGAATGCTAAGGCTACCATGCTATTGTTGTGCACCAGGGTGCAAGAACAACATCGATCACCCACGAGCAAAACCTCTCAAGGACTTCCGAACCTTGCAAACACATTACAAGAGAAAGCATGGAATCAAGCCTTTCATGTGTAGGAAATGTGGCAAGGCCTTCGCCGTGAGAGGTGATTGGAGGACTCATGAGAAGAATTGTGGTAAACTTTGGTATTGTATTTGTGGATCGGATTTTAAGCACAAGAGATCTCTCAAGGACCATATTAAGGCCTTTGGACATGGGCATGCCGCGTATGGAGTAGATGGTTTTGAGGAGGAGGATGAGCCAGCATCAGAAATCGAACATGATAACGAAGAAAGCCACCACTCAAGGAATCATCAACACTAGCTATCTAGGGGTATATGCTTCTTCCTTTCACTTATACTCCACATATTATGTGTATATTTGATTAAGTTAGCTAAATGCCTAAGCTATATATAATATACACTCGATCTTTTAGATTATACTGTATATTTGATCATTTTGGGTTTATCAATAGCTCATGATGAAAGATTAAACACTTTCAAGCTATATGAGCTTTTGAATAAGTATTGTTGTTGCTTTTGGGTGTTGTTTAGCAAGGATGGAGGAGCCTAATAGATGGCTTTAATTTATCAACTTTGGTAAAGGAGATGATTGAAATAAAGGAGATAGATAACCCCACATACAATATGCCGGAGTTATTTGAGATCTATATTATTATGGAACAAAAGAGAGCTAAATTTTGTAGATTGATCATCATTACAAAAGTATATTATTAGCACGTATGTATAGCATGAGCCCATCTTTGTGGAAGTGTATGTATAATCATTGATTGTGACTTCCATGTTGGATGCCAAGTTGGTTGATCCAACAGCTTACTAGATGGCTAGATTAAATATTATTAGGTGCACTCGAGAATATCGAGAATGGTGCTTATTCTATTGTGTACATAACATGCACATGCACAAGTGGAGAGGTGGTGTGTTTAATTGTTTATTGTCGTGTCTAACTTGTGAAAGGGCACGTATTGTGTTAGTTAATCACATATGTTGCATACACCGAAACAAGCACACGTAAAATTGGATCACTTTTCAATACATACGAGTACTTCTAAATGCATACAATATTGACTGTTTATACGCTCAAGTTAAAAGACATTTATCCCCTTTATTTAATAAAGACGACATTTGTGCTAAATTCTTATGAAATCACTAATTGTCAAGCAATCAAATGCACATTTCATTTGAGGTATAGATGGTGCATAAATCCTCCTTTTAACTTTTGTTTGTTTATTTAAGGTATAGATGGTGCACATTTCATGCATAGTACCTTGTGTTGAAAGACAAGTGAAACATTTTGTGTCATCCTAATTCTACGTGAAAGAGACCAAGTACACCAAAATTTTAAACTAATGATTAATCTCTTAATTAATTTAAGGTTCATCCTCTTATAACATCTATTGCCATGAACTAACATAAGCTAGAGCATGTGATACTCAACAAATTCTTCAGTGATACTCAACCAAAAGTTGTATAATACTCAGTAGTTAGACATACAAAATGTAAATTAGTTTAAGATAAATCTAGTAGCTAATTAAGCAATCAAGTTTCATACTTTAAAATCTTCTTAGTTTTCCTATTCTTGAAGTCAATTGATTATTGTAATAGTATCTTATTATAAAGTGTAAATTCATGCATGCAATTAGATTGGTAATTGGATTATATATACATTTGGAACAACATCTGTATAAATAATCATTATATGAATATCTATTTTTATTTCTTAATTCTGCGCATACATGCATCTAATATAATTAAGCTGCCCAATAATAATAATAATAATATTTTTTTGTGTAACAGATTTATACAAGACATAAGCTACTTAAAAAATGAAACTTTTGGATGGATAATGATATGATACAATAAAAGTAGACATTACAGCATAAAATTGTTGGATACAAAATGATTTCGCTAAGAAAAGATGATGAGAGTGTCAGTGAATGGTACAACTAGGCAATCATGGTTAAACACTTAATGAGCAACGAATATATAGTACTATTACTAGTAGATGGTACGTGCAAGCTTAACGGATTGAGCTTTCAAGAGATAGATCGATGGATGGTGATCAAACTATGTACAACTTGCTCTCTTAAATATGACATGTATGTATTCCCTTCTCTATCAAACTTATGTTTTATGCATATGTTGCATCATTATCATACTTAATAATACCAAGAGGGGTCCTCCTAAAGTATACAACTCCGTTCGTTCGTTGTAGAAATTATATCGAGATTATATATTGAATTATATCAGTGTGTCGCTTTGAGTGAATTAAGATCAATTTAGTAGGCCGGACCCTTTTGCTTACCATAAAAATACTGTATAAAAAAATATATAGTCTCCTATATTGATATATACATGCATGATGATGATATATCACATTTTAGATAATTTTTTTTTGTATACACTCCTAATTAGAACATATGGGTGCAAGCAATAAACTTTTTCTTTGATTGGAGAATTTCAAATCATGACTTCATTGATAGTTTGTTACATTCTTACAATCCTCTTCATTGTTTAAAATGTTTATAGGACCATATTATCAAAACATACAACACAATTTGATAAACTTAAGCAAAGACACGTGTCATATGATACTCAATCATGAATTGAACAAGATTTTTTTAACCTGCAATCTCAAGTTTATACACAATGTACGTTATTCTTTAAAATATATATAAATTATTGCATATAATAAGAGTCTGTTCTCATTTGCTGAACTCAGCTGAACTGAACTGAACTAAACTGAAATGAATATTTCATAAGAGGAGGAAATTAGGAGCTGAACTGAACTAAACTAAACTGAATTTCAACGTAAGAGAACAGACCCTAAATTATTATTTGGTCATGACATTCATGTATAATATAATAAATTAGAGTTTTAAAAAAAAATATAAATTTAACCAATGCAATAACTTAGAGATCTTGGTACATTGTCTAGGGCTAGCAATCCCCGACCCGATAACCCAATCCGAACCCGATCCGAAGTTACTGAGAGAAGCACAAGCCTGATCCGAATCCGAACAATACGATTTCGATAGTTTCTGAGCACAACCCGAAATTAACCCGAAATCTAACCCAAATCCAATCTACTAATCCAAATTGCCACCTTAGTATTGTCCGAGCCAATTATCCTAATTTTTAAACATTATTTCACTTTGTTAAGAACCAAAGTGCAAATTTATGCAACTGTGTGGGAAGAGCAATTGACACGGAAAGAGACGGAGAGAGCGGGTAGGTTGTAATTGGATCAACCAACTGCAGTATGAAGCAATGTTTAAGGTCAAGGATTATGATTTGAATGGGCCTTTTTTTTTTACCCTCTAGTTCTAAATAATTGATGCGTTTAAATTTTTTTTCCCTGTTTACATACTAATTTTGACCATCCTTTTTACGTAACATATCAAAAACAAATTTATTTATGAAATATATTGTTAAATAGGTATTAATCTAAAGTTTTATTTTATCTATCTTTATTATTTTTTTATTACTATTGCATTGACATGTTTGTGTTACCCTTGATCGTGTCAATTCTTTTAAAACGGATAAAGTACTTCATAAATGTACATAATAGATACTTTATGGTGTCATATACCACTGGATATGCTTAGATCATATGATTCGAGTTTAATAATTAAAACTTTATTAATTATTTATAATCTCTAATGATAGCACGATACCATTGTACGTTTACACCCATTACTTCGTTGCATTTCCATTGTACATTTACACCCATTACTTCGTTGCATTACTAGCATATAGCCATAGTAGATTAATAGTACAGCAAAATACTGAAAGTCTTTAACTCTAAAACCCTTTTGTTTGTAAGTGGCTTGAGACAAAAATGAAAGGAAGAGGTGTTTGAGCCCACATTATTGGGCCTAAAGCATGTATAACACAGGGCCCTCTAAAAGCTAATGATCAAAGCCAATGACAATGGTGTATTTATAAGGAAAATGTTATACATAGCCCTTAGGTAGGGGTGAGCGTAGCAGGGTACCCTGTAAAAATATTAGGACTCGAAATCGGAACCTGTTGCAACATGTTCCTAAAAATAGGAACCGGAATCGGAACCTGTTGCAACAGGTTCCTAAGAATTGAGAACCGGAACCGGAACCTGCAGGTTCCGGCTCCTAAACAGGGTACCCTGTCTGTCAAAGTAAGTTTAATAGTTACTTGATAAATTGTGACAAATTTATTTTTTTTAAAATAGATGATCACAATAAAAGCTTACAACTTTAATATAGTACTTCAAATATAACAAACCAACACTAATTGTCTAGAATTTTTAATACCATATAGGTTCCGGTTTCATGTACCCCATAGGGAACCTGTACTAACAGGGTATCCTACAGGTCCTAGATCCAAAATTTTATTACCCGGAACCGGAACCTGTTGCAACAGGTTCCTAATTTTATTACCCGGAACCGGAACCTGATCAACAGGTTCCGGGTTTGGAACCTGCGGTTCCGAACAGGTTCCGGTTCCATATCAGGGTACCCTGAATTTTTGCTCACCCCTACCTTTAGGGCTACATATAAGCATTAAATTTACACTTAAAAATCGTAAAAAGTTAGGAAATCATCAAAATATAAACACTAATAACACTGATTTACGCGTGTTTTTGTCGTGAATTCCTAATTTTATACAATTTTCAAGAGTATATTTAATGCTTATATATAGCCCTTACGGCTACATATAACATTACCCTATTTATAATTGTAAGACGATTAGACGGGTGTGAAATTACTCTAAGGCATTTGGTTAGTGTATTTTTTGGATTGGAAACGGATTCGATTAAGGGCGTGTTCACATTTACTGAATTGAGTTGAACTGAACTGATTGGAGCTGAACTGAACTGAGTTGAAATGAATATTTTACGAGAGAGGGAAATTAGGAGCTGAATTGAACTGAACTGAACTGAACTGATTGGAGTTGAACTGAATTGAACTGAAATTAAGCTGAAGTGAACATGCCTAAATCGATACCGTTACCATGTGTTTGGTTTAAAGGCATGGTAACAATTACCATTACTTAAGGATAAGGGTAATGTTATCCCTTATTTGTTACCTCCCAAAAACATGTGGTAACAAATACCCTTACCCTCATCTTAACAAATACCCTTTCTATGGTTACGTTATACCAAACAAATGAACAAGGTAATAGCTAAATGATTCATGTCCCCCCTCTTATTTGTTTCCTTTCCTCTCCATTTCCATTTTCCGAACCAAACCCACCCTAAAATGATTAAGAGCGACATTAATTTTAACTCCCTTGGTTTCTTAGGGCCTGTTCACATTTACTTAATTTCATTTCATTTCATTTCAGTTCAGTTCAGTTAAGCTCCAATCAGTTCAATTCAGCTCCAATCAGTTCAATTCTATTCAGCTCCTAATTTCCCTCTCTCATAAAATAGTTCAGCTCAGTTCAGCTCCAATCAATTCAGTTTAGTAAATGTGAATATGCCCTTACTATGTACAGAGTAGTAAATATTATCTTGACAAAAAAAAAAAGAAGAAAAAGGAAATTCTTCAAAAGTAATTCATAAGGTAAAAAGACAATCATATTACTCTTTATAAAAGATTTACCTCATAAAAAACACTCAATAATTCTTGATTAATGCGGACTTTCATAAAAAACACTCAATAATTCTTGATTAATGCGGACTTTCATTAACTTATTGTAAGATGGGTTAAAAAGAACTAAAAATTTGTCAAGCGCTACTTGCTACCTTCAAACGTTAACATTTGTAATGTTGGAGAAAAGCTACCAAAACGCTTTCTCTACCACGAATCGCTACCTTTCAAAACACTCTTATATTTCCTATTAGAGGATACTTTTTAGACTTGGTGTAAACGCTACCCGCTACTGCCTAACAAAACGAGGAGTATAGAACTATGTGAGTAATTAGGAACGAAGTGACTATTAAAAATGGGTTCGAGCATGCCAAGGTTGCTTAATAGAATATCAGCCCTAACCTTAGGGGTCGTTTGGTTCGCGAGGGGTAATCGGAATGGAATGAACAAAGAGAAAGACAAGGAATGAAATGAAAATACCTAAAATTTTCTATGTTGTTTGGTCTTAAAAACAAAGGGAATGAGGGCCACCAGTCCCACCACCACACCACCACTACACATCCACCTCAAACCTTCATTCTCCACCGTTTCCAGCCACCAAACCACTCGCCGCACCTCCCTCCCCCTTCGCCTCCCTTCGCCGGTCATCCCCGCCCCTCGCACAGCTCTCCCCGCCCCTCGCAAACCCTCCCTCAACCCCGAAAAACCACCATCAGCCTCGAATAAACCCTAGAAACTATTCTCCCTCGCCGTTTGAGGTGCGACAACCTCCGACGAGGGTTGGGGGAGGTGCGAAAAGGGTTGAGGGAGGTGCGAAAAGGGGCAGCGACGTGCGATTCCGGTGCGAAAAGGGGCAGCGAACGATTTGATTCCGGTGCAGGGGAGAGTCGGTGAGGGTCGGCGAGGGGCGGCGAGGGTCGGGGGAGGGGCGACGAGGGTCAGGTAGGACGGTGGTTGGGTTTTCCGGTGGTTGGGTAGGTATGAAGGTGGTGATGTGGTGGTGTGGTGGTGGTAGGGAATGGGCTTAGAAGGATTTGGGGGAATGGATGGGGGAAAGGGAATGAAAAAAAAGGGCTAACAAACAGCAACAAAGGATATGAGGGTGGTTGATTCCCTTTCCCTTTGATGAATATCCCCAACCAAACGGCCCCTTAATCTTGTTAAAGTCTTTCATGTCAAAGCTCAATCTTAATCTTGTTTAGCGAAGAAATTCAGAATCTCACTTCCATTGAAAATCATTAAACCCCAATAAAACCCTAATGCCTACACCTTTCTGTTCCTTCTTTCTCAATTTTTCTATGATCCAAATTTGATTTTAATTTCATATTGAAAAGAAGAAAATTGAAATGTCTGTATTCCTAAATTTAATTGAGTATCTTCAATTTTCATCAACTTAAATAAAAAAAAAAAAAAAAATCAAAGAAGAAAGAGGGCAATTAAAGATGAGTCAACCCTCAGTGATTCTTGCAACTGCTAGCTATGACCACACCATTCGATTTTGGGAGGCTCAAACTGGTAGATGCTATCGTAATATTCAATACCCAGATTCTGTAAGTCTTTTTTTTTTTAATTGTAATTTTAATTAATTAATTAATTAATTTGTTTTAATCTAATGTTGTTGAGAAATTTCTGGAGTTAATCGTTGAATTACGTTGTATTATTTTCAATATTTGTGAAATGGTGTGAATAATTTGTATTTTGGTGAATATGTGTATATTGAATTTATGATGGGATGAATTTTGGTGTAAAGATGTGATCTTTTGTTTGTTTTACAGCAAGTTAATAGGCTTGAAATAACCCCAGATAAGCGATATTTGGCTGCAGCTGGGAATCCTCACATTCGATTGTTCGATATTAATTCGAGCAACCCTCAACCGGTAATATACCTTGATCAGAAGGTTTAATGCCATTGTGAATGTGTTTATTTGTGGGTGTTCTATGTTACCTGGACTTTGGAACCCGTATCGGACAAGGGTATGTGCCCAAGTTTTAGACTCGGCTTGTTTAATTTCGATTTTTTGGTGCAAAATGAATTGCGGAAGGGTCTGTACCCGTGTAGGAGTGTTGAGGTTCTAACACGGCTACTTGAGGTAAAATGAAGAGTCCAGGTGACATAGAGTGTGTGTGGGTGGGGGGGTGGAGGGCCGGAGGGGGGGGGTGGGAGGTTGTGTTAGTTGCTTCAAATTGATGGTTTAGGATTATATCTTTGATATCAAAATGGCAGGTGATGAGTTATGATTCTCATACGAATAATGTTATGGCAGTTGGGTTTCCATCTAATGGAAATTGGATGTATTCCGGTTCTGAGGATGGTACAGTGAAGATATGGGACCTCAGGTAACAACATGAATACTTATTTTTGTGATTCGTTAGAATGAAGTTGATAAAGTAAAGACATTGAGTTTCGATTTCAGAGCTCCAGGCTGTCAAAGGGAATATGAAAGTCGCGCTGCTGTGAACACTGTTGTCCTGCATCCAAACCAGGTTAATTTTAGGCTATTGTTCTCAAATCTTATATGCTTGATTTATCTGTAGTTTTGGGTAATTGATTCAATGTTGGACGAAGGAGAATGACTTGTATTGACTTAGTCCATAATACCATATGGTGGACTCTCTTAAGTCTTAACACCTCTTCTTAGAACTTATTAACTTTGGAAAATGAGCTAAGACTTTATATATTCTTGTTCGCTCTACATTAACAATATTTCTTTTATTAAGGGGTGAACTAAATTTTCTTTTGGCTCCACCGTATCAAATGTTGTTTGCCTGCTCAATTGGATCTTGTTAAGTTACAAATAGCATTTGCCAAATGGCTACATCTTAACGGATCACCAAATTTCACTTATTGGCTCATATGAAGTATTACCTCCGTTTCTTATTATTTGCAACAAAGGAATTTTTCATGTCCCACAAATAATACCCTTTGTTGCAAGACAGTATTTTTTTTTTTTGGTGGAAAAGTAATCTTTACACATAGTATTTTCAAAAAAAAATAAAAAATGTTACTGCTTCATAATTGTTGGCTGGTTGGTTCCAGATTCAATGTTGTATTCATGGTGATTTTGCAGACTGAACTAATATCAGGAGACCAGAATGGCAATATCCGGGTTTGGGATTTGACAGCAAATTCATGCAGCTGTGAATTGGTAGGTATTTAGTGTTGCTAACTGGTACACCAATATAATTTTTAAATTAGTGCTTATGCTTGGTTATTGAAAGAAGGTTTTGCTTGGTATAATTTTTATACTATAGTTTATACTCAAAGTTTTGGATTTATCTATCTGAGTTGAACACTTAGTGAAATTTTGTTTTCTTTCCTTACAATCCTTGAGTATTTGTCCTTGGTGAATCTTTCTTCTTAAATTCTGGAGCAATTCTATTCTAGAGTACATGGTTTTACTCATTATGTTTACCTTCTGTTTAGACCTCGGCATGCATTTTGTTTTTTAATTTCCAAACCAGCTGGCCTTTTATTTATATTTTGGTAACATATGAGATGAAATCGTAGTGTATGTCTGTGATATATGGTACACTTGTGCAAGGATCATTTATGTTCTATAGAAATGAGAATCATTAATGTAACTGTCATATCTTTTTAGCTTTAGGGTAAAAAAGAAATCTGTTTCTTTTCTTCTTGTCATCCCACTTTATTTTCTGAAGGTGTGCTGTTCCAGTTCTCTTAGTAATACATTCTGCTGTATTTTTCATTTCAGTGTTTTTGATCTTTTAAGGCTTTGATTGATTTATATATGTGCTTGCTTTGTCATAGCAATGGTTAGCTTTATCTGGAGTTTTACAAATATAAACCGTGTATATGCTAGGAGTATCTCTTCATTGGCCGTAACTTTTAAAACTTTAAAAGAATGTACAGCTCATAATACACACATAGCTTGTAATAGAATTTACACAGCACATGTACTTGTATACTACATAGCTGGTAGAGTATAAATGAAACATTAGCAACCCTAAATTCAGAAATCTGCCGTGAAAAAGAACCTCTTCAAGTGAGAATCCTACAGGCGGAAGTATCCACTGCTGATGTAGACATCTTCCGTGATATGAATAATAAAAGAATTCACTTCTAGGCAAGAAACACCACCGTTAGCAACAGATGATCGAACACCCAGTTGTAGACTGTAGCCCTTTTCTGTATTTCATCTCCTTCTGATGCCATTACCTCAATACATTATCTATAGTAGTCGACATCACTAGGTTAGCTTAGTGTGTTGAATCCCTCACCAGCATACCAGTTCTTAGCACCTCTGCATTTCTTGGTTAATTAGAATGCATAGGCAATGCTACCATTGGCACTCCCATGTTGATGCTCTCCATGCATGAGTTTTACCAAAAGCGAGTCATGGCTCCACCTATAGAAGGTGCTAGATTCTATAGTATGGCGTACCCAGTCTACCACTATTCCTCTGATTTTTACTCACTTCACACCCTTCTGGCATTATAAGATTTCTCGTATCCGCCATTCTAATGCCGATATAAACCTTTGCCCGCTTCTTTGCAACCCAAGTGCCAATTTCGTGATCTGCTCATCTGTTATTGAAGTTGTTAGTTCAAAAGTGAATATATCATTGAACTTTTTCCTTGTTTGTCTAGCCATTTCAAGCATATATGTTTATCTTTCTGGTTTTTGCTTTCCATGTCCAATGTATTCATATGTCTAACGGCAAAGTGTTTTGTCTAACTTGAATATCTTCTCCAACAGTTCAAAATCTTTACCTTCTTTCAGCCTGGAGGTATTCTAAAGCATTCCCACTGCAAAACAAAAAGTAGTAGTTGATAAACTATAAAGTTGTGTAATTTAAGATGGAAACACAACAAGAACAATCAAAATAGGGAACACAAGAAGTATATGGGAAAGTGGAAAACCTAAAATGGTGAAACATCACGGGACTAGTAGTTCATACAAGAAGACTTCACCCCAAAAATAGACGGAATACAATTTCTCTAACAATACAATTGTGGAACACTAGAACACTCACTTACAATTTTCTCAAGCCTCTCACTTTTAATAGTGGCTTTCTTTGTCTCTTAAAGGTACCAAAATGCTTGTTGTAGATTAAATTGCCAAACCCCACTAAGGTTTCTCTATCTATAGTTGTCCAAAATAAGTCCTAGATTGTTGCATACAAAGATGGAGAAAAGGTCCTAGCTACATTCACTAAATCACTTTTGTCGGTATTTTTTTATTGTGAGAATTTTAGTGAGCGAAGTCGATCACCAAAAGTCAATCTTTTCACACACTATATGATTATCAAAGAGGAGAATTCAGAGGAGAGTATGAAGATCTGAAGAGGAAGGGGAGGGTAGAGGTCTGATTTTAGCAAAGTATGGAGAAGGTGGCTAATGTCATATGTGGAGAAGCAGAAGTAAAAGTGGGAAGAGGGGAGGGGAGTGGAGGGGAGAGAGAAATTGAGGGTTCTTTTTATTTTATTTTATCTATTTATATAAAAAGTACAATATGGAATTATGAATTTCAATAACCAAACCTTATACCTGACGCCATATGCTGAACAAAACACCACCTATATCTATTTCTCTGACTACTAAGAAGCTAGGGAAAAGAGGTTGGTTTGAGTAACTTAAATTTGGATGAGAATGAGTAAAAAAATTTTGTTTGCTGTAAAAGAGAAAAGGGAACTTTATTTGATTTTTGAAATTTATATCTTTATCGTTCTTCATGAAATCTGAGGGTGGTGCAAAATGTGATCTGCCGATGCTTCCATCTCCATTCTATCGTTATCCTATTGTGCATGTCTCCACAAGTATGAGTATGTCAGGGTTAGTAAAGCATGGTTTTAACTGGCTCCAACAGATACATATCATAGTATGGATGTACTTTGTAGTTAGCACTTAAATGGCATTTGCTTCTAAATACCAGAATGGGTGATTAAGGAATTTAAAAGATGCAACTAAACTAAAAATCTGAACTCCCAGGTACCAGAAGTGGATACTGCTGTAAGGTCTTTGACAGTGATGTTTGATGGAACCTTGGTAGTCGCTGCAAATAATAATGGAACCTGCTTTGTTTGGCGTTTGTTGAGCGGGACACAGGTGATTAAGTCATTTGATGAATCACTATATATCCTTTTTTTTTTTTTTTCGAGGAAGAATCACTATGTAACTTTGATGGTCTCTAACTTGGAGTTTCTTCTATTGCAGACAATGACAAATTTTGAGCCACTTCACAGGCTTCAAGCGCACAAAGGATACATCCTTAAGTGCCTTCTTTCGCCTGAATATTGTGAACCCAATAGGTTTGTATCTTCTGAGCAGTTCGTGTTTTTTTTCTTACACATTCTTAAGGTGTTCCATGAGTATTGTTGCTTAATGTACTGCAAACAAATGTACATATAAACAATATGTGTCAGCATTGGTGTGTGGCAAATGACATGTATTGGCTTGTAGGGTTACCCTTTGTATGATAAGCTTTTTGCTTTAGGCTTTTGATGATGTTTAACAATACACATGAATAGATATATATCCTTGATGGCTGTAGTTTAGGGATAAAATTCAAAGGAGTAGGAATGAACTCATGCAGCTAACTTGGTTATTATTAAAATCTTGATGCTGTTACTTGGTAAGATTTTTCCAAATTGGTTTCATAGATAGATTCTCAAAGTTGATTCTAGATAAGTTTATTTTAATTGATAGTTCACGTAACCAAACAAGTCTAATACTGGACTGGAATAATCAGGTCCCCGTTGCCAGTCCAAGAAATTCCTGGTTTCCGGTTCTGGTTCATTCCAATTCCGGTCTGGTCTGGTACAGTTCTGACCAGTGCACAGTCCTAGGTATAGCATTCATCTATCAAAGGAATCAATAAATTTCCCTAAAAATTTCTATGGTGTTCGATATACTTGGAAAAAAAAAGGGGAGCAAGGGGGATGTAGAGAGTAAAAAGAACAAAGACTTGACTTGTATTCAAGAAAGTCGTGTGGGAAGTGGAGTAAAAGAGGAGGCAGAATTGTTTTGGGATGGCGATGTTGAGGAGAAAGTGGTTTCTTATAAGGCAAAAATATGGCCTAGTTACGCCATGGTGCACCTGGTTCATGGGATTTTATTGTGTGTTCATTGTCTCATCTATATTGGTCTGCGACTCTTATTTAAGGAACTTACCAAGGGAAATCCTTTGGTGGGAAATTGCTTTTATAATGCGTATGTTAGAGCTTGAGGAGGAAAGCAAGGGAGTTTGGTAGAGGAGAGACAGAGAAAAAAGAATCAGATTGTCCGTAAATGGATGAGATTAGATAGAAATTATAATGAATATTATTGAGAGTTTAATTTAGCTTTTATCTTAATGTTCTTGATTACTTCTTTTTAAGAATTCTGTTTTGATATCTTCATATTCCCCTTGAACCAGAAACATGACCATGACAGTGTGTTCAAAGAAAGAGAGAAAGGATAAATGAGAGAAAGAGGGGGGGGGGCATATTAAGTTTCGGTGTCTTATGGCAGATAATACATGTAGTATACAGAATTTCACTCTTACCTTCTATGTGATCATACACTTATAGGTTGTCAAATTATGGTTGGCCTTTGTATTGCCTTAAGTTTGGAATATACTTTTTTGGGGTTTTGGACTTGCTCGTATATATTTTCTACATATCTGGTGGAGTTATGGTCAAACTTGGGCCAGTGTTTGAAAAAGCGTGCCTAAGGCGCGCTGAGGCGCAAGGCGATCAGGGGTGAGCACTTATTTTGGTCTGGCGAGGCGTTTTGGGTCAGGTGCACAAAAAGCGCCCGAGGCGCACCCAAGGCGCACTTCAGCCAAATTTTTTATACTGCCCATATAGTGCGCCTCACTTCAAAGAGGCGCACTGAGGCGCGCCTTAGGCGCAGCAGAACCCCTCTCGCTTTAGTGCGCCTTGAGCTTTTTTATACATTGACTTGGGCTGCATTGTCTTCCCTATCTGTAGATGAAGGTAGTAGATGATAAAAAAATGTTACATTCAAGTGTCTTCTGGACAAGGGGGTCAGAACCATAGCTAATAAAATCAACAGAAAGTTGGTGAATGTTGAAAATTATTCATGAGGGCTTGAGGAGGATGAGTATATTGATCAAACACCGAAGGACCGAACCCTAGGTTAAAAAGCTCTAATTCAGCTGTTCATACTTTTGAAAGATGATACAGTTGATGTGGAGGCCATGAAGCTAACAACTACAGTACCTGTCCAGGAACATGGTAATCTAAAAGGGAAGGTGAACTACTTGTTTTGTAAGTCATTTCGTAAGCTAGACAAGATTTTACTGGAGGATGCTTTATGATATTTCAGCTAGAACTCCTTTTACACCCATGAAATTGATGGTTATGTATAAAATAACCAGTAAAATCACGTGGAACACTTTTCTACTTATTTTGGCCTCAAATGTAAGATTTACCCTTTGGTGATAAAGCTAAGAGGACAACATGCCTATTGCAATTTGGGTGCAAAGGATATATATCATATAGATGAATTTCATGATATTGGGACATTGTTATTTTAGGATTTGTTTTATTTTGGACATATAAAAATTAAAAGAGACTCCAAATTACTTAATACACTAAGAACAATGACAGCAATGGTGCAGTTGGTTAAGATTTATTAATTTATCTCTTTTTTTCAATTTTTATTTGCTTAAATGTGCATTTTGAGAAGGCTTGCTTACCTCTGCAATGAAGAGGGTAAAGAAGAACAGTTTGGCCCGTAGCTGCAATGCTACTATAGAGGAGACAAGGCCAATGAGGAGTTAGTAGAAGCAACAAGGCTTTTAACTAACATCTGACAATAATATGGTCCCGAAGAGGATAACAAAATTCAAAGGGGCATAGAGATATATAATAAGAGATGATTAAGCAGGAGGGAAGCTGCACAAATGGATTAGGACCATAGAAATCGGAGACCTATAGCCCTTAATGATAACCACAGTACTTTAGTGGAGCTTCATAGTGCTGATTTTTTTCATGGCCTGCAAAGAGCTGCATACAAACGGGAACATCATGTAAAATTCTCACATGAAGAAGGGCTGAGATGGTTGTGGCGAGTGTTAATGTGACATGGAATGTAGAGAGATAGAACATTGAAGTACTATTTGGATAAAAGTTTATTATGTTGATAAGGAGCAAAAGGAAGGTGGAGACAGAAAATATTTTCCCAGTAAATGGAGCTTGATCCTTGAGTAGGTGCTTTCATAACTAAGTGGAGATGGAACCTCCTCTTGGTGATTGACTGTAAGCATGTTTGGGGGGTGACTAGTATACATGGGTTTGGCAAAAAAGGCTAATTGGTAGAATGATGTCATTGATCTAATTTCTAGCAATATATTTCAAAATAATTGCAGCACTTTTAGTTTTGCATAATTCATATACTATTAACCTCATATAATTTAGGAAGGAAAAAGCAAATAAAAAATTCTTTTGTTTCAAGACAAGAGAAATGGCAATTTGCATTTACTCTATGACTACTTTCATTCACACTACGAAATACTATATTGCTGCTAATCTGGATTGCCTTCCTATTCCAATCTTTCTCACCTTTGAAACTATAGGAATGTCACACATGTATCTTCTTTGGCCTATGTGTTTTAAATCAAATCTGTTTTTCCCCCTCTGTGGTCAGCTATAAGCCCGAAATCCACTAACTTTTATCCCAATATTTGATCATTAATATCTATAATTTTCTTTCAATAACAAGAATAAAAGTTGTAAATCGAAAATACACTTGTAGTAGAACAGAAAATTCCACTGATATTTTACAGCATAAGTTTTGTTATTATAATAATCAGGTTAAAGTAAAGCATGTGAATAGTGTAATAGTGGAACAACTATCGAGCATATATATTTTTTTAATTATGCTGAGTGAATTTGTTCTACAGATACTTGGCAACTACATCATCTGATTATACGGTCAAGATATGGAATGTTGACAACCGTTTCACCTTGGAGAAAACTTTATCTGGTAATTATCTCTTTTAATGTTCGTATTTGATCTTATAGAGTGCTCAGTCTTGCCCATTAATCATTCACCAATGGTTGTGCTTGATTTTTTCCAGGGCATGAACGGTGGGTGTGGGACTGTGTTTTTTCTGTAGATGGTGCCTACCTAATTACAGGTTAGTTGTCATATCCATGGAAATATAAGTAGTTTGTTTTATTTGGATTGTTGATGGGCATTCTGCATAGAGAAGTCCTGCCTCATAGTACACATTTTTTGAGTGGCTAGCTTATGGCCTTCATGTGAATGAGGATATAGTTTTTCACAACTATTTCCAAGTTGCCAAGATTTCTAATCTACTATGCCTAAGTTTTATGCTTTGATTTTAAACTATTACAATCTTTTTCTGTGATTACGATTAAAGAGAGATGATTTTTGCCAAAAAAGAGGTCAATGAGGACTGATTGATGCTGGACATAATTGGGCAGACTAATATTCCCCCCTCCCTCTTAAAAACTAATAAGCTAATATGCTTGGGTGGGGTTTCTTTTCCTAAAGAATTAAGCTAAATTGCCAAAAATTTCCTTATCGATTATAGGCGTTACATGTGTACCATACCAAAGTAGGGTGTATCTTTCCCTTAAAAATTATAAATGTTGCATTTTTTTTTAATTCTTTGATATAAGGTGTCATTACCAGTTGGAATGGTAGGCAATGATAAATTGTGATAATAATTATTGATTTTCATTGCAATTTGTAATGAGAGTCTCATGGGGGTGGTTGGCTACCTCATATAATTTCAATACTGCCTTGTAAAACTGGTATGAACTTTCCTTGTTTACATGTAAATTTTAAGCCATCACCACCGTTTATTCACCAACCAAACATGCCATAAGAAATTTCCCTCTTCGAGACGTATATATTGAAATTGAAATGGTTATAATATAGGGATGTTCAAACTTTTTCTAGATATTGAAGTTGTCTCATTATCATGGAAACCTAAAATAAAATTGTGATTTTAGAATAGGAGTAAATGAGAATGCCTAATTTTTTGAGTTAAAAGTATACACCTTCTTTCAAAGGTGTATGTTTTCCCGTAGTTATGTAATCTGTGCCTCGATACTAAAACTGCATTGTTGATTTTTTTAGCTTCCTCGGATGGAAGTGCAAAGCTGTGGTCGATGTCAAGTGGTGAAGTCATCCAAACATATCAAGGGCATCACAAAGCTGTTGTTTGCTGTGCTCTAAATGATGGAGCTGAAGTGTCTTCTTCATAACCCTTTTACGTTAACTTCCCATTTTGTAACAAATAAGTTCGTTCCTAATCTTGGTGGTTGTATTTCGACTGATCTTCTTGTGTACATAGTTTTTCCTTTTCATAGATTGTCGTAGCATTGGAAAGGTGGGTTGAACTTTGATTTTCACAGCCAAAAAAAGGTGAGCTCTCTATTGAAAATAAACGCTCAGCCTTAAAACGTTCACTCTGTTCTCCTGCCTTTTTAGGTTAAGCTGCACAGAAAGTGGTTAGAGAAGCTTGTCGAATTCAAAGGAGTACTAATAACTTATGCATTGCATGACAATTTTTTGAATCATTAACGAATGCACCAATAATTGCATTTCATCATGAGGTATTGACAATAATCAAAACAACACGACATGGCTAGCTACATAGACAATGAGAACATCATAAATAAAAGGCAAATTACAACCTAAGACGGAAAAACAAAGAATGTCAAGTACATAACCCCTATTAGGCTATCCTTCTGGTACACCCCATTTGGGGTGGTGACGGCCAAGGTACCAAGCACAAATTCTATGTGATGTGTGGTAGATGGTGACGACTGGCCTCAGAAAGTTTCGTTGCACCGGGGGTAATATGGCTAACACCCTACATCCTCCGTACCATGCGTTAGTCGATTAGTTGCTTAGGACTCCAGTGATAGTGGTTCATTATCGAATTAGCGAGTCTGACTCAATATGGCTGTCCTCTTTATTAAGATCATCGAATTGTATTCCTATTTTGTAGTGAGTAGCATTTTATCTTAAAGTTAATTTAGGCTTATTATTATATGTTCGTTTATCCACTTTCTTTTTTCTTTTGTAACAGATCTCCAAGAAACATTAATACCTTAACAATACTATAAATTTTATTCATTATATGAAAGTTAACAAATGCACAATATATAAGATGATCACAGATTGACACTCCGTAATAAACAGCACAATACAATACAACTAGCAATGTTAGCACACAAAAAAAGATGAGGACGTAAATATGAGCACAGATACATCTGGCCTTACAATTGAGGTCCTAAATAACCACCGGAATCAACAACAACAACAGTCAGCGCTAACAAACCCACGGCCACCAAAACCGCCCATCTTTTTTACAACGTTTGGCCCCCGTCCCTGTGAGAGAAGGTGACGGGCCTCTGAAATGCTCGTGGCCAAAGCCAATAAGACGATAGCCAAGTAAATCATCACGTAGAGCTTGGTAGAAGTTGAAGTTGCCATTCTTGTATTACTTGGGCTCAAAACTTGACCTTTTTGTAAAAAAAATGTGTTGGGTTCTAAGAGACTTTGGCGCATATATTTATAGCTGCTCCTAGCAAGTAGCACATATAATTGAGCTTTATTTTAGGTACAGATGCTCCTAGCACGTAGTACATATGATGATTGAGCATGATTTAAGGCACATAAAATAGACTTTGGAAGTCATAATAATAAGGTAAATGTATATTTATACCACTATTAGTTAGACCTAACATACCTTGAGCAAGCGGGCGTCTCATCCCTAACCTAAGACTTGCTCTGGTATGGGGTGCCCTGTGGTTTCTAGCTTTTGCCAACTATGCCAAAGTTTTCTTTTTGAACGTACATTATAACACGTATAGCGTAAACAAGGTTTGCATTAACGTTGATTGAGCTACCATAAACTAATACGGAATACGACATTACATGTGACGGAAATCATGTTGTATTCCTTTGTTCCAAAATTATAATTCTATTTTAATTTTTCATGGCCAGTCTTTATAAAATTTAGGGAAACTAAAAATTCTCATTAATATATATTTTATATAAAAAAATAATCATGTGAAATATTGTTAGATTCATTTTAAAGTGCAGTTTATAATATCAAAATTTATATTTTTTTATTAATATAAATCAAAGATATTGATTTATGTAACATTATTTTAGGATGGATAAAGTATTAATTAGGCTCTGTTCACTTCACCTTACAAAATTAATATTACTAAAAAAATTTCAGTTCTGTAAAAATTAGTTCAGTTTAGTGAAATTAATTTCGGTTCAGTAAAATTCAATTTTCGTAAAGAAGCATTACAATAGAAAATCAATAAAAATAATTTTAGTTCAGCAAAAATAATTTAAATTCAGTAAAATTAATTTAAGTTCAGTAAAAATAATTTAAGTTCAGCAAATATAATTTTGTTTCAGTAAAAATAATTTCAGTTCAGCAAAAATAAGATTAAGTGAACGGGGCTTTAGTAATGGCCAGTATACTGTGATTAGAGGCATTTGGTTTGCAGAGTATAGGTATGAGGTATGGGCCTGTGGGGTATGGGCTTAGAATGACTAAAACCATACCATATACTTGGTTGTCAATGATATGGGGTTTAGAAACCGGGGGGGGGGGAAGATGGGTTTGACTCATTCTTTTTCCTTAAGTATCAAATCCATGGTATTAAATTATTAATGGGATGAGATTTCATTCCAAAATTGAAACAAACACATGATATTAGGTATCAAATTCCAACTCAATGCCACCCTAACCCCATTCCCAATTCCAAACCCATACCACTGTACTAAGTACTAACCAAATGCCCCATTATTTGTTTAATGTACGGAATATAGAACACATAATTGAGAAGAGGGAAGTAATGGGCCGTGCATGTGGGTACCTACCCTGTGTAAAATGGGTTGAGCTTTTATTTGTTTAATCTGCAAAGTTAGAGTTGTGACTATTAGGTTTCAACACAGTACGAAATGAAATGCGAGGGTGTAAATTTTAATATGATGTAATCCAAACTATTCAAACTTATGAGTGATCCAAACTATGTTCGTATTGTAGTGGATCATACACTTATAGTAGAAAAAAAAATTAGCTATCAAAATTTTGTACTAAGTTCTCATGTATTGTACTTGTTTCGTTTTTTTGTTACTTGCAAGATGCAACACTTTGATTTTTACATTATTTACATACTTTATTCTTTACTTTTATCAAATTTATATATATTACTAACTAAAAATATTAGCGATTGATGTGAATAAGCTTCTTCTTTCAAAACAAGATGTCACGTGTTACAAACTTGTAGCCGGTAGCCCATATTTTTAATAATTCTATATAGTAGTATTTCATTTTAAGTAAATATAATAAAAACATGATAATTGATAAATAAATTTTACTATAAGGGCCTGTTCTCTTCCGTTGAAATTCAGTTCAGTTCAGCTCAGTTCAGTTCAATTTAGTTCAGTTCAGCTCTTAATTGACGTCTAATGATATTGCTAATGATATAAAGCCAAATTTCATTCTTTTAAGCTCTTATTATAATAATAATAATAATAATAATAATAATAATAATAATAATAATCAATAAGTAATAAATAATAATAATAATAATCAATAAATAATAATAATAATAACAATAATAATTGAAATAATAATACTAATAATAATAATAATCAATAAATAATAATAATCATCAATAAATAATAATAATAATAATAATAATAATAATAATAACAATAATAATAATAATAATAATAATAATAATAATAATAAAAATATAACTACTAATAATAATAATCAATAAATAATAATAATAATAATCATCAATAATTAATAATAATTAATAATAATACTAATAATAATAATCAATAAATTTCCTATCATATTCTGGTGTTGCTTGGGTCAGCTGGTGCAATTTTCAGGCGGTTTGTTTGGTGCAGTTTTGGGGTTGTTTTGGGTGTTGTTTGAGTGCATTTTTTCTCCAATTTCCTGGTCAGTTTCTTTGGTTATTTTGAGGTGCAAATTTCTGGTCTGTTTGGGTGGTGTTTTTCGTGCTTTTTGGGTGCATTTTGCTGGTCATTTCGGGTGCAGTTTATTGTGCTTTTGGGTGCAGTTTATGGTGGATTTTTTGGGTTTTTTAAGTGCTGTTTTTCGATTGGTATTTGCTCCGATTTTGGTGGTGGCTGTGTGTAGCCATGTCGGTGAAGTTTCACTGTCCCGTTGTGGGTCTTAGTGGGTGTCAAGATGGGAGTGGCAATGGTCTTACAAGGCGTTCTTTAATCAAGCATCTTCATGATCGTCATTGTTGTACTGGTGCGCGGGATGTTACACGCTAGTTTCTTACTTCTAATTTGGCTGTTTATACTGGAAGTTACTTTTACGCGTATGGGGATTTGGTTTTGTGGGGTTTGTTACAAAACTCATACGCTTCGTTCTTGGGGTCGTCACGAGAGGGGTGAGGATGTATCACCCCCTGATGAAGGAGATGGTATTATTCGTTTTGTGCTTCATAATTTCTCCAGGCCACAAGCTCCCTCTTCTTCGGCTCGTATTGGACTTGTGGATGGTTTGGCGCGAGATCAGTTTTTTGGTTTTGATGTGGCTCTCGTTAATGCTTTGCTCTCAAAGGGGTTTCGCACTGTGAAATCTATCCCTCCCAAGTGTCGTTTGGGGTTTTCTCGGATTCTGAAAGGTGCTCTTGATAAGGTGATCTCTAACCCTAATGACATTTCTAGTTGGGTATCGTTGTTAGTGTTACCTCTTTGCATCCTTAAAATAAACTAGGGGTGTGCAAAAAAACCGTAACCGTTTACCGTAACCGTTAACCGGTGTAACCGGCTCATTTAAACGGTTAATTTACCGAACCGTTTAAATTAAACGGTTACAGTTAACCGTACCGCTAAATATAGCGGTTAACGGTTACGGTTACGGTTACAAGTTTTAGTAAATGGTTAACCATCGGTTAACCGTTAAAATAAATAAATATATATTTTTTTTGAATTAGTGTACAAATCAATTTGGGGAAATTGGTTACGAATTAAAAAAACTTAGTACGAATTAAAACTTTGTAATGTATTTGATTTATGGATTTGTAATCTTAATTAGAACATGAATTTTATTGTTTATTACTTTATTTTTAAGTTTGTATTAGAGTTAGATGTTTGGAACTATTGGAAGTAATGCAGGGTTTAAAATTTATTAAACGGTTAATGGTTAACCTGTAACCGTACCGTTAAGGAACGGTTAACCACTAGCGGTTAACCGTTCCTTAACGGGATGGTTACGGTTCGAAATTTTAAGTAACCGACATAACGGTTAACCGTACCGTTAAGGCTAAACGGTACGGTTAACCTATTGTGCACAGCCCTACTTAAAACCTTTCGCCCGCGGAGTAGTCGTGAGTCAAGGTCTTCCGTAAAGCGTCGGCATCAAGAAGAAAGTATTTCCCGGGCTATTTGTTCTTGGGGTGCACCAGGTGGTAGTGTGCAGCTTGTGAGGGAAACTTTGGCTGAGGATGCTCCTACTATGTCGGTGGTTGATGATGAGGACCTTAATTTGGAAGAGCGTAATATCAAGCAGTGTCGTAGGAAGATTTGTGATGGCCATTACACCGCTGCAGTCCGGGTTCTTTCTTCTTCAGGTGTTGCTCCGTATAATGATGCCACTCTTGCGGATTTGCTTTAAAAACACCCTTCTTCTTCACCTCCTTCCTTGCCTGCTGATATTCTTGTTTATCAACTTCATCTCGTTGCTTCCTCTGCTGCTATTTTAGATCGGATTCAGAGTTTTCCGCGTGGCACATCGTGTGGTAGGGATGAGTTACATGCTCAACACCTTATGGATTGCTTGAGTGGTGCAGCTGTGGCTGTCTCAGACGAGTTGGTTGACTCTATTACCGGGGTGGTTAATCTGTTTCTAGCTGGTAGATGTCCTATGGAATTAGGAGAGTATATTGCTAGTGCTCCTCTCACACCCCTTGTCAAGCCCGGTGGTGGAATTCGTCCTATAGCTGTGGGTATCATTTGGCGGCGTCTGGTTTCGAAAGTCGGTGTTGTTATGGTTGGGAAGTCTTTGGGAAGTTACTTTGATGGTCTTTAATTTGGCGTTGGGGTTTCTTCAGGCGGTGAGGCCATTCTTCATGCTGTGAATCGATTACTTGAGGTCCGTGGATCTGATGTTGGTCTTTCAATGTTGTTGGTGGATTTTCGTAATGCCTTCAATCTAGTTGATCGTGCGGTCATGTTACGTGAGGTCTGTCGTCGTTGTCCGGGTATTTCGCGATGGGTTGAATTCTGCTACTCTAATCTGGCTAGATTGTATTATGGGGACCACACCTTATGGTCGTCTCAGGGGGTGCAGCAGGGTGATCCCCTTGGTCCTCTGCTTTTTGCTTTGGTTTTACAACCCTTGGTGTGTAAAATCAGAGATACTTTTGATGTATGTCTTCAGGCTTGGTATTTAGATGACGGCACTATTATTGGTGACACGTTGGTGGTGGGGAAGATTTTGCAGCTGATTATGGAGGAAGGACCTCTTTTTGGGTTACATCTTAACGTGGACAAAACTGAAGTTTTCTGGCCTATAGAAGACTCCCGAAGCAGGCTTTTGGGTGTCTTTCCACCTAACATTGCTCGACCTTCGCGTAGTGTTAAGTTGCTTGGTGGTCCTGCTAGTTCTGATTCTGGTTTTAGTAGCGAGCTTGTGATGGATAAGGTTGCTACACTGGATGATCCTCAGTGTGAGCTATTGTTACTTAGGGCTTGTACCGAAGTTTCTAAACTCTACTTTGCGTTGCTTACTTGTCCCCCTAGTACTTTTGAGGCGGCTCATCGCACTTTTGACGAGGCTCTTCGATCTTCTTTGGAGCGTATTGTTACTGGCTCAGGACCTGGGTTTGGCGATTGGTAGTGGCGGCTTGCCACTTTACCATTTGCGTTTGGAGGGCTTGGTGTCTATTCTGCAGGTGATGTTCGGCATTATGCTTTTCTTGCTTCTCGGTTGTAGTCTACTGGGTTGCAATCAAAGCTTCTACGGCATGCTGACATTGTTGGTCATGGTCGAGCTTTTGAAGACGCTTTGGGTTTGTTTAATGGCGTGGTGGAGTCTGACTTTTTAAGTAATCCCAGTGAGGTCGCTGCCCCAAAACTTATGAAGAAATTGGCAGATATATATTTCACGAAGGTTACGGATTCTGCAGAATCCACCTTTTCATTATCCCCTCGTCTATCAGCATTGTGGAAATCTCAGCAGGGAGATCACACGTCTGCTTGGCTTCGGGTCGTTCCTATTTCAGGATTGGGTCTGACTATGAATGCAAAGACTTATCGATGTGTATTATGCTACTGATTGGGTGTTCCGTTGTTCTCTGCCTCGACACCGTGCTCTGCTTGTTCGAGGGTTTTTCCAGGGGATATTTTTTGCGATCACGCGGTGTCGTGTGATGGTATCGTGGGTATTAAACATAGACATTATGTTGTTCGGGATACCCTAGTTGATGTTTTCTATCGTTTTGGGATTTCAGCAAGGAAAGAGGTTGATATTGGGTTGTCTGGAGGGAACAATGAGGCCCTCAGACCCGCTGATGTGTTACTTTATTCTTGGGATCGTGGTCGCGATGTTTGTGTTGATTTGACAGGATCTTCTCCTTTGACATAGTCAAGGCTATCTGACTTTATTCCTGGATGGGTTGTGGCTGATGCAGCTCAGCGGAAGCGGGATAAGTATGAGGTTCGTTGTCAGGCGATTGGATATGGGTTCATTCCCTTCTCTTTTTCTTCGTTTGGTGAATTAGAGAAGGAGGTTGTTGCGTTGCTTAAGCGAATTCAGAGGTTCTCGACGACGCAAGACATAGGAGCAAGTGATGCAGCTCATATTTTTACTAGGGTAGGCTTTGCTGTAGCTAGAGGAGTGGGGGCCCAGATTGTATCTCGGCTTCCCACTAATTTATTGTAGGTTGTATGACTTTTTGTTTTTGAGATGATGATAATAATAATAATAATAATAATAATAATAATAATAATAATAATAATAATAATAATAATATGTACATTTGTATATACACATATGTATAGTAATAAATAATCAAAGATCACTAATCCGTAGTTAAAAATCACTAATTAATAAGTTCAGTTCAGTTCAGTTCAGTTTAGCTGAGTTCAGTCAATCGGAACATGCCCTAGATCTTATTTTGAACTCTTTAATGGAACAAAAACTATAAGTACACAAGAATTTTACTATAAAGCTTATATTGAACTCTTTTTAAAGTAAGTAAATGTGTGCTCCAAATTTGAGATGTACTTATCTTCTTGATGAATGATGAGTACATGTATCGAAGTATCTTCTTTTGAACTAAGATCATAGCCATGTACATTGATGTGTTGGATTTATTTTGTGTCATCATTAAATTATTATGAAATATATATCTAATAACTATTTTCAGAAATTTTTTTACATGTAATTATATACAAATTGTAGCGCTTAAATCCTTTCATTTGTAAGGAGTAATTTTATCCAATGATTAATAATTTAACCCCTAAATTTAAAAATAATAAAAATGGCAAAAAAAAGCCTCTTTTAAATATAATAAATTTACAAAAATAAATGGTTTCAAATAAATAAATAAATAATTTCTTCAATTAAAGTTTAAAAAAAAAACCATAAAAAAATTAACATCATCATCTGCTTTCTTCAATTCTACATGACATTGTAGAATAAACAGGCAGGTGATGTTGCTGTAACAACTTAAAGAAGAATTGCAAAATTGGAACACACATTTACAGTTTAAATACATGGCTATGATCAAGGTTCAAGAGAAACTGGATTAAATCAAGGTACAACATCGAAAATCTGATCTAATTACTCATGCAATCTCTTGTGATAGAAGTCCTAGATGATATGAGAAGTCATGAAATTTCAACAGAAAGAAGGAAAATGAAAAATACTTTAGGATTTTTGTGAAAATTAGAAATATCAATCAGAAATATTAAAATAATATTTATTAATTAAGGTCTATTTTTTGGAGGGAAAAAAACTACGTTTTGTTTGTGTCATTTACTTATTTATATCGTCTTTAATGCCTATGTTTTGTTTGTGTCATTTACTTATTTGGTAACATCTTTAATGCCTCTAAATATTAATATCTTTAACTATGCATTGTAAAAGTCTCCAGCCCTTTTATTAGTTATATTTTGACTTTTATAATCTTCATGCACATATGTGATCACGTCACGAATATGTTCAATTAGATAATTGTAAAAATTTGATATCTATAAAATTCATCTCAGATCAAGATAAATCATATCCAACAATATACGTGATATGAATTTAATTTTCATAACAGTGCATCCTTATGTTTTGTAAAGCTTGACAACAAATGTCAACATTTAACAATGAAAAAGGAGTGAAAAAGGAGAGAGAGGGATCATTCAACCACCTTTAGTGAATAATATGCATGACGAAATATAGTCATATGAAACTTTGTTTGATTCGTCTAGCTCATCAATGTTTATTTTTATAATATTAATTTTTTTTATAATTTTTACTCATACATAATTACAGATATGAAGTATTTTAATTATGCATTGGCATGCACCACAGTCAAAACGTTGCAATCTAAAGTGAATGAAAAAAAAAATCACTAATTCTTGTATTTTGGCACATTACTTGTTATTTGAAAATGTAGTTTTTAGTTGAATTGAATGTTATCAGTTTACGTAGTATAAAAAATTAACTCTTGATCAAAACATTATAGTGGTTTAAAAACTATTGTAGTCATCCCAACAACTGTTCACTGTTCTTGCATTATCATGATTGTAAAAATAACTCAATTGTAATTATATTATTTCAGGTAAAGGAGGCGTAATTGCATTAAAACCTCGCATTGTTTAACCTAGTGCGAGCTAGCTGAGTAAGCCCATTAGATGTGGGGGGAAGGATAAGTAAATCCTCACCCCTAAGAACCTTTAGTAGAATTTGAACTGACAATTTCATTGTTGTAAGATGCAAAAATCTCCACTACATCAAGCCTAGCTTGATTGCTTGATAATTATGATCAATCATACAGTATATTTTTGATAGTTTATTCCTCTAGAGAAACCTACCAAAATATCAAAAAACAAGAAAGCATATTATAGAGGTTAAATTGTCCTCCACCTTATAATCAAGTCAAAGAGATCAAGGCAATATACTAAAATCCAATCAATCAAGTGCATATCACTCAAATCTACAAATTCTTCTATTATGCCACTACTTCTAGTTTACTCTTTTCCTCCTTTTCACCTATATAACACGAAAACAGCTCAAGTTTAGAAAACACATATAAATACATATTGCTTGGAAACCGAAAAACCTCAACTCCAAGCCATTTCTAAACTTCATTAGCACGAAAATAACAGTGCTAATAATACACAAAAATCTCAAAAAAAAAAAAAAAAAAAAACTAACTTTTTACCGTAATGTAAAAAACAATCTTAGTGCTAAATCAACCTCTTTTTTTTTTTCTTTACAAATAAGTGATTACAAGTTACAAGTGATAGTAATCCGTACTGGTAAAAACAATAATTCGGGGCCCCATTTACCCACCCACTGCACCTTATCCTTTCTCGTTATATAAACTGCACTAAGTTTATATATTCAACTATTATAATCTAAACACCAAACAAAGAGTAAAGTTAACTCACACTCTTCCATCTCTCTTTATTTCTCTCTTTTTTAACACTATAGTTTCCTTTACTAAAACTAGTAGTCACATATCTTCAGGTAAGCTAGCAACTCTTGCTAGTTAGTTACCTAACGGTTTTCGTTCATCACTTGACAGGAAAACCTCTTTATTCATTGTTCTATTTGTGAAATTTGATTAGAGATGATTTCGTGGCACGACCTCTATACCGTGTTGGCGGCCATGGTGCCGTTGTATGTGGCTATGATATTAGCTTACGGGTCGGTCCGGTGGTGGAAGATCTTCTCCCCGGACCAATGTTCCGGGATTAACCGTTTCGTGGCCATCTTTGCTGTGCCTCTCCTTTCTTTTCATTTCATCTCTACGAATAATCCGTGGGAGATGAACCTTCATTTCATAGCAGCCGACACTCTCCAAAAAGTGATCATGCTTGTGTTATTAGCCCTTTGGACTAACCTTACTCGAAACGGCAGCCTCGAGTGGATGATAACGATCTTTTCTCTTTCCACGCTTCCTAACACCCTTGTAATGGGTATCCCGCTTCTCATTGCGATGTACGGGCCGTATTCGGGTAGTCTAATGGTTCAGGTGGTGGTGTTGCAGTGTATTATTTGGTACACGCTTTTGTTGTTCTTGTTTGAGTACCGTGGGGCGAAGATTCTTATCATGGAACAATTTCCTGAGACTGCAGCATCTATAGTATCCTTCAAAGTCGATTCCGATGTCGTCTCATTAGACGGCCGGGACTTCCTAGAGACGGATGCTGAGCTTGGACAAGACGGAAAACTCCATGTTGTTGTTAGGAAGTCTAATGCCTCTAGACGGTCTCTGTCTGGTATGACACCGAGACCGTCTAATTTGACAGGAGCTGAGATTTACAGTCTCAGCTCCTCTCGAAATCCGACCCCTAGAGGGTCTAATTTCAATACCTCGGATTTTTATTCTATGATGGGATACCAAGGATTTGGTGGCAGGCTCTCGAATTTCGGTCCTGCTGACTTGTACTCAGTACAATCCTCACGAGGTCCTACCCCTCGTCCTTCCAATTTCGATGAGAACCCGAATGCTTCTCCAAGGTTCGGGTTCTACCCAGGAGCTACTACAACAGTAGCTCCTGGTACTAATCCTCCGAATTCGGCTACCGGGTCTTACCCAGCACCGAATCCGGAGTTTGTCAATGGCACCACCACTGGTGCCAGTACCGGTGGTGGTGGTAATAAGAGTGGTGGAAAGAATCAAGAAAAGTCGGGCCCGCAACATCAGGCGCAGCCCGGACAAGGACAAGGGCAAGGACAAGGACACCACCAAAGCAAGTTGAGCCATGATGCTAAAGAGCTTCACATGTTCGTGTGGAGCTCTAGTGCTTCTCCTGTATCAGAGGTTGGTGGGCTCCACGTTTTTGGGAGTAATGATTTCGGCACTCCTGATCAATCTGGTCGCTCTGATCACGGTGCTAAGGAAATCCGGATGTTGGTTTCTGATCAGCCACAAAATGGTGAAACAAAAGGTACACTTTTTAAAATTAATTTAATTATATATATTTTCTGCTATACGTAATTTTGTCATGAATTTCCGAACCAATCATGTTACAAAATACCACTTTAGTTTATTTTATACTCGAATTTGATTTGACTGCATATATATGGAAAATAATTAAACAGCTTTAAAAAATTATTACAATGTTGAATATGTAAATGTATATATAAATTCCAAAAAACAGCCCCATTATTGATTTCAGGGCTTAGGAAAAGTGAGGAATTTGCAAGGGAGGATTTCAGCTTTACAGGTGGAGAAGAGGAGAGAGAAAAAGACGGGGCGATACCGATGGCGGGGATAAATAAGCTAGGGTCGAGTTCGGCGGCGGAGTTACACCCGAAAGCGGTGGCGGGAGTGGAGGAACTAGGTGGTGCTAAAAACATGCCTCCGGCTAGTGTAATGACAAGATTAATCTTAATCATGGTTTGGAGAAAATTGATTAGAAATCCCAACACGTATTCAAGTCTAATCGGCTTAATTTGGTCATTGGTTTCTTTTCGGTAAGTTAACTGGACCCTACCAAAGAAAATTTAGCCAAAGAAATAATGTTCTCGTAACCTTTTTGGTTTTCGCCTTTTTAGAAAGTGTTGCATGCTCTACAATTACATTTACATACTCTCTCAATTATATTTTAATAGTCAATCATTCTATCAAAATTTAATAGTCAAGTTGTTGGTTTAATCAGAACTAACAACAACGTATAAAGTAACAATTAAATCCGGACATATGAAGTAGGAGTTGTTGTTTGTTAATGAATTATATACCTAAAAAGTTTAATGAATGTTTGGTTACAAATGCAGGTTTCATGTGAAAATGCCGATAATAATAGAGAAATCAATCTCAATACTTTCAGATGCTGGACTTGGTATGGCTATGTTCAGCTTAGGTGAGTTATACTCCCATAACGTTTCTGGTTGATGCTTCCCAATTTCCCATGTGCTATGTTTCTTAACCGATCATGTAGGTCCATTTGCTAGAACACCAAATTATATAAATATAATATTTCTAAAATTCTCTTTTTTAATTTCAATCAATTGCAATTATTTGGGATGGTTTTTCGCTTTTATGTCCACCGTCTTTATTATATATATATAAAAAAAAAGTTAGAATCCGTTTATAATTTAAAATAAGATAAATTTAGATAAAATAAGTTGAATTAAACAGGAAATTGATCGATAACTACTTGTTCTTCTTTATGCTAATTTTATTTGGACACTGTTGCAAAGCTGACATTTAACCATATGCTCCAATTATGTCCCCTTTTTTCGGTGCTTTTGCTTTTACTAAAGTGTTCTCTCTTCTCCCATAACTTCTTTGATTATGGTTGTCCTAATCTAGCATCTGGACTTGTTGCTAGTATTCTTTGTTTGTTAGGGCCTTAGGGTTAATTATTCTCGATTAGCTAGAGCTAATGTTGGAAATTAATTACTGTTTGATTTTATGTTAGCTAGTTAATTAGTTACTCCGATTGAACTGTCAATAGTATATATCGTGTTTTATATAAACACATATTTTCTACACTTATTACAACGGACTATATTAATTTAGAAATGTATATTAAATTCACGTGTCTTCTAATATATCTCCTGTTAAAAATTGATTATATATAGTTGTATTATACATCATTTTTCTTTTATTTTAAACCCATACTAGTTGGACTTTAAAGACTGTAATATGATCTTTATCATTAGATAAAGGGACAAATGTGCTTCATATTAATGAGATGACACATAGTTGAGGAATCCATTGTCGTTAGATTTGAAGCAAACATATTATTACTTTGAATATTGTGTCGTATTTTGTAAAAGGATTTTGCTAAACATAAAACAGTAGATACATTTTTTTTTTCTTTCGCGAAAGATATAAAGATAGATTTTATATGAAGATATATATGTTCATTGTTAAGTCATACACCATTATACCCTAAGCTAATATTCTTTTGAGATTGAGTATTTATTTTTTAGTACTGTACTGTAAAAATCTTCTTAAATTTTTCGTCATTTAATCGATTAACATAATTTACAATTACTATCATTTTTCTCATCATCATTTAATGAAATGTCTAGTAAAAGCAATCAACGTATTAAATTTTCATTAATGTTTAAGAACACCTAATAAATTTGTATGGTATATTATTCTTAAAAGCCTTAAATAAATCATATCATGAAAGGATACGGAGTATTAACTGTTGGAACACAATTTCTCTATATCGTTGTCAAATCACCTATTTTAATACACTAATACATTATATATGTATATATCCTTTTGATATAATTTCATAATTGGTTGAACTAGAATGTTAGTTAGTTGTTAGCTCACATTAATTACACATTTTTCGTATATTACTAGGATTGAACTTGATGTATAACATAATAAGAGTAAATGAATCATTAGGCTTGAGCTAAATTTTTTAGATAAATACTACTCCGATCCGTATGTAAGATGAAAGATCGATCTTATAAGGTAAGAACCTCTCTCATATCAATCGATATGAAATGATAAATAATACTAAAAATTCGGCAACAATGTCAAAAGTCCCATTGACATGATTTAGAGTTGTGGTTAGTAATGGACTGACGTATGTACAAAAAAGTAGGACCATTACCTTTGTGCTGCGTAGGTTTTGTGGTCCTAGCATGAAGGCCATTAGCTCTTACTAACAATTAAAACCTTATCTCATGTTTTTGTGTTACATATCTTCTGCAAATTATATTGGTGGATGCTAATATGAGTAGGATGCATAATTTGTTACACTTATACTTGTTGTACTAGTATGATTTATGACTAGAGAATAATTGTTTTCTTTTATTGTGTATAAATGGAAACCTTTTGAAAGGTTTGTTCATGGCTCTACAACCAAAGATGATTGCATGTGGGAATAAAGTTGCCACCTTTGCTATGGCTGTGAGATTTCTTACCGGTCCGGCGGTTATGGCGGTGGCTGCCATTGCTATTGGTTTAAGGGGTGATCTTCTTCGAATTGCCATTGTTCAGGTTTGTACGCATATTTTTAACTTACTCCGCAACTCAATAAATTTTTTTAAAAAATATAAATATGGACAATAGTGTTTGTTCACCTTATAAAAAATTAAATCTCAATGTTAATTAGGTCTAATTGGGATTAATTAGTTTAAATAAATAGTTAATCCATGACAAATAAGTTTAATAATAAATTATTTTAGATAATTTCAAGTGAATATAACACACTCGATCAGCCTATCATATAAAATGATGACTTATTTTACGACATGAATAACATAGTACCGAGTATATAAATTTTATACTAACTTATAATATTTTTTTATATAAAAAACAGGCAGCACTTCCTCAAGGGATTGTCCCGTTTGTTTTTGCCAAAGAATACAACAATCATCCAGCCATTCTGAGCACTGCGTAAGTACATTTCTAAAGTTATTTCTTTATTTCACTTTATATATTATGAATTTTTTTTAATTGAAAAAATTAAACTTTATATATATAATATGAATTGTAACGTGCTTACGTGCCTAATCAGATGCAATTTGCTAAACAAAAGAACGGCAAACTTTAATGACTATCAATTGCATTTCATCATGGTGCATTATACTTTACTACACGTGAAAAGTTGATTTTTCTTCATAATTAAATAATCAAAAGTAATTACAATCTATGTTCCATGAATCTTATCTTATAAATAATGACAATTAATGCTAATAACCTTTTGTGCTATGTAACATTAGAGTTGTTGTCTATAGACTATAGTAATGCTTTCTTTAATTTATTCTCATATAAGTATTCTTCTTGAAGATTATTGTATTGCTAATTAATAAAAGATTAACCAATAATATTGTGTTGGATTTCAAATTGACAAGTGACAGTCCATTAATATTTTAAGTGACCAATTGACATTGAATATAACTATTACGCATAATAAGTTATTTTACATACTTTTTATTTTCACTATTTGTGATTTTGTATAAATTAACTTTGTTTGACGAATTAGAATTAGCCAGATCTCCTTTTACTAGATGACTACATATAAATTGTTGTAAAAAGTTCTAACATTTGATGTTTCAATTTTTGTGCACAGCGTGATCTTTGGGATGTTGATAGCGCTACCAATTACCTTGGTCTACTACATCCTATTAGGGTTATAAAAATTCTTTTTCTTCACCAAAGAATGAGATTAAGCTAATTAAGCTTATTACTACGTCGAAGTTATCCATCAATTTTGGGGAGAAGAAGTTAATTAATTCCAAAAGTCCAAGGTGTTTGGATGTTATTGGGTGCCCAAAAAAAAAAGGGTACAAAATTTTTCCCACTTTCAAGTTCCCTCAACTCTCAAGACTACAATGGTCAAATTGGGATATTGGAAAAGTGAAACTACTAATTCACATTCACCAAGCAAATCAAGGTGATTGGTTGTTAGAGCTAAAGATATTTGACTTATTGAAGGAATTTGCTGCCTAATTTGAGGATCATGCTCCCACAAACTTTAGACCACCCCAAAAAAAATTTGTAATCTCAAATTTTTAATTAAAAGTTTGGGAAAAAGCAGGCAAAAGAGAGGAAAATAGGGATAGTTGTGGGTCCCCAATTTTTATATATTGTTAATTAGTAGTTTATTTAAACTATTACGGAATATTATTATTATTAGTAGTAGCAACGTGGATTGCTATTTAGATTTTTTTTTTTTTTTTTTTTGACTTAAGGTTAGTATTTTGTTTGTAGTATACTAGTATTGTATTGATGAAGAGATGGAATGTAAATTTTGATTTGTAAATGCAAGTTTTTTTAATTAATTTGGAAAATTAAATGGTTGTAGTCTTCTAGATCTTTTTAGCAAAGAGTAAAGGAGTTGTCATTGTAGAATATTTTATGATTGTCTATTTTAACTTGTAAGGTTAGATTCTACTTTCTAGTTGTAGATCATGTCAACAATATTTGCGGTTCATGCTTCTCTGACAAAGTATCGTGTGTTTTAAATAGTTTCTATTTTTAGGGCAGTGCATGTGTACCATATTACTCCAACTATTTATGCGCACAATAATGCAATTATCAATTGAAATAAAATCTTGGTCGAAGACATGTAATGGAATAATGAACATTTAATTTGTAAGAAACGTTTAATGTTCAATTGTATACAAATTTAATAAAATTACCATAAATGTTATGATTCTAAATACGTATTAATTCATACTAAATGAGTTATGGGAATCAAATAGGGAGTAATAATTTTAACCTAATGAGCCGTGAGACCGGATAACCTTGTTGGCTTATAAAGTTGACTTTGAAAAGTGAATACAATGAAGTTTTTTCCTAGTGTCCTGCTAGAAAAGGTAATATAATGTTATTAGTACTGTAATTTGTTGGTGGAAAGACAACTTTGTCCTTGGTTGAGGTTGTTCTATGCCTATTTGATTCCCGTAGACTAATCAATGAAAAAATTTGAAGGATTTATTAGCCAAATATGAACCCTAAAAATTTTGGCATGCAGATGTCAAAATGATAATATATATTGTAGCTCCAAAGAAACCTATCATTATTCACTTTATTGATATGAAAAGCAACTGATATGGTTCCAAGTGAAAAGTTAAAGCTAAGATAGACTTGAATAAGGTCAATCTAACAAAGGAAGTCATAACTATGGTTTTTAAAAAAAAAAAAAAAAAAAAAAAAAAAAAAAAAAAAAAAAAAAAAACCTTAACCACTATAGGCATTGCTTACTTTATTAAACATCATATTAATTACCTATAAACAAGAACTCAAATAATTTTAGGCGCGGCTAGACTCTGCCTACCACAACCAATAATTTTAATTTGGTAAATTTGTTTTTTAAAAAGTATGCTTTGGTCATTTGCCCTTAATAAACTCTGCCCTCTTCAATAAAATACAAACTAATGAAGAAACTTAAGGACGTTTCAATTTTATGTTTTGAGGGAAATGCAACACACTTATACCTTTGAAGAACACTTGTGCAACCTAATTAAATTGTACTAGTACTAACTAAGCAATGCCCTATATCTCATTTGAAAACATGACTAAGCTTAGACCTAATAATAGGTTATATTTAGCCACATTTTTTTTTTGTAATGACAACAATTGATTGAGCTAGTAAAAAAAAAAAGCTTTCTAGTTAAAGGTTATGATGAAAACTATTATAATAATAATAAAAAAGCTTTCTAGTTAAAGGTTATGATGAAAACTATTTTAATCAATGGGACCCTTCTTATTACAATTATTTGAATGACAATGTAATAACTAATCCAATTTAATCCTTGAAACCAAATAGTTTTTACGTCTCTTACAATTATTTGAATGACAACATAACCACTAACCCAATTTAATCTCAGGAACTAAATAGTTCTTACACATCAAGAACTTTTTTTTAGACTAAAGTGATATTCTTTTCATCTCATATTTATTCAAATTAAATTAATTATTTAAGCAATGTGATCGATGTTAAATCAGTTTTGCTGAAATAAATTTTTTTTAGTTGAACTTAAAATTACTATTAAGATCTTAAATTATTTTATTATTTATCTAAAGGGTTTATGTTTAATAAATGTTATGTTTTATAGGTAATCTTATAGCAGAAGAATTGTCATTGATGAATTTTTAAGAGATCTTGTTTTCTTAAAACTCATAAAGACAAGTTTGGTGTTTTGTTTTAATGATGTTATACCAGGAAACGTTTTTTTTTTTTTTTTTTTTTTTTTTTTTTTTTTTTTTAAAAAAAACTAGTTATATAGTACCAAAGTAAATAAATTTTTAAAACTAATTTATCTTCCTATTATTGTTCATATAATCATATAAAATGAGGTAGTAAGTGAAAATTGGATTCCTATTTTTACTTTTAGATAGGAGATAGAAATTTGTTTAGAAACATTGGTATTATCATACGGAGTAGTTTTATGTGAATCATGTGGTGGGTTAAGGAGTGATAAAAGTGAAAACTTTCTATAGCAAAAATAGAAAGATAAAAAAATTAAATATATAAAAAAGAAAAGTATGAAGATTAAAAAAAAAAAAAAAAAAAAAAAGAGACTTAGTAGTAAATTTTACAAAAAATTTTATAAATAGACTTAGTAGTAAAAAGTTGTTAATTCTAATGACAATAAATTTTACAAAAAATAATGGATATAAATATTATAAATAGACTTAGTAGTAAAAAGTATGAAATATTGTGAAAGAAATTAATTAAACAAATAATAGTATTAAATTTGATATTTAAGGACATTTATTTTAGATTTTGTACAAACTAAAAGTCATAATTTAATTACAATAATTTTTTTTTAGTAAGTGGGTTTGAAGGGAAAGCATTTTACAATATTTTGCCAAGTGTTCTCTAAGTTTCGCCTTTAGTATAATGTAATTGATTGATTCGAATAAGATTACGAAAAAAATTCTTAAACCTAGAATATCAATAGGGGTTGTATGCAAACCTGGTTTTTAGGAGGGTTGAGTCGGGTCAGGGTCGGTGCAGTTTATTGTGGCTTAGGTTAAAGGGTCACATTTTATAGAGTCTAATGGGTTGATAATAGGCGGGCCCACAAACTATCAATTAAAATAAATGTTGGATGAAGACATAATTAAGTATGTGTGAATACAAAGATTTGTATGTAATTTTTTTTTACATAATCTAATTTCTTTATGTATTAAATTGGACAAACATTTGATCTTATATTGACCCTACACAATAAGAGCCCTGACCGTTAAAGACCAAACCCTGCTAAATTAGGCTACATGCCTGTCCAATAACCATATAATAGAAGACGTGTAGTCAAAATTTGATCATAGATCAGCTTGAATGCCAAAGAATAGAGTAGAATCTCCCTTTACTTAAATAACTAAACTAATTAACATCAACTCAGCAATAGAGCAAATTGAGAAAGAAGCAATATTGTTTAGTAGATTTGTATTGAACCAAAAGCAAATCATTTTACACCCTAAGCCAAGAAACGAATTTGTACAGGCAATTACTAATCATTATTGTAGGGGTATTTATAAGATTTACCATAGTAAAAAAAATCCAACAATTTTATGACCAAGTTTTACAATTGTTTTAATTATTGTTGGGAGATAGGAGTTCCTACCACCCTTATGTTCTGTCACTAGGGGTGGGATTTTTCAAACCGAACCGTGAAACCGGTCGTTACCGAACCGAACCATCACGGACCGATCCGTTTATAAACCGATAAATTTAAACCGAAAACCGAACTGAACCGTTCAATATCAAACCGAAACCGAATCGAACCGCTCAATGTCAACCCGTTACGGACCGTAAACCGATAACAAACCAAACTGCTCAAATCCGAACCGAAACAAAACCGAACCGAATGGTTTATAAACCCGTTAATGACCCGAACCGTTTATAAACCGAAACCGTTTAAACCGTAAAAAAAACCGTTTAAACCGAACCATTTGTAACCCGCTAACCGTTTAAACCGACCCGTTTATGAACCGAAACCGTTTAAACCGCTGGAAAAACTATATAAACCGAACCGTTATAATCCGCTAACCGTCTAAACTGAACTGCCATAACCCCTTAAACCGTTAAAATCGAACTGTTTTCGAACCGCAACCTGTTTAAACTGATCCGATTACAAACTGCTTAATTCAAATTGAATTATTTACAACCTAAATGGCTAAATAGTAAATACAATTAATGTTAATAAATGTAGATCTAATCAAACGGCTTAGGTTTATACAAAGGTTTATATCACCTAGATCTAGTCCAACGACATTATTAATATCGTTTTAGATTACTTATTTATTTTAATTACAAGATATATCATCTGTACCATTTTCATTCCAGTAATAATGCTAGTCCACCCAAATTATCTTCATTGTTCCTTCATAAAGATATTCATGATCATCCAATAACACTCAAAGGTAACATAATATTGGAGATGTATGAGATTGCGTTACAAAAGTGGCATAAGAATTAGAATATTACTGTACTAGTCAATAAGGCGTACAAATGTACAATCATTCACATTATCACTTTATAAAACTTTCTTATACAAGTATTTTGTAAAGGGGGAGGACTAAAATGTTTATAAAACTGCATGAGAATAACTAGATGTCTAGATTTGAAATTTATGGTAGAAGAAAATGGGAAACTTTCCTTTCCTTTACATGATAAAAAATTTTACACCCCTAACAGACGGTAAAAGGAAAGCTAACATACTAGAATACTAGTATACTACTATATCCTAAAAACAAAAGGCAGCAGAATCTTGAAGCAGCAGCACAGCACCCAAGAGCAGAGGAAATAGCAGCAACAAGCAGGAACCAGCTTACGCAATAACAGATCAACAACTTATCAGAAGCAAGGAACAATAAGCATAAGGGACTCAGCAGGAACTTATTTTTGTTTTTCAAAATTGCTCTCAGATTTACGTTTATCGTATCATCACTGAGCAATGGTTGTTTTAACTTAAAACTTGAAAAATGCTGCCAGCAAGTACATATACATTGAAGTCTCAACATAAATGACAAGGGCAACGATGATTCAAGAAAAATTAAAACAACAAGCATAAGAAACAGCAGCAACAAAACAGCAGCAAGCATAAGAAACAGCAGCAACAAAACAGCAGCAACAACAACTCAGCAGAGACATCAACCAAAAGGCAAAAGCACTACCAGCAGGCAGCAGCTCATAACAAGTTCAAGCAACTTCAAAATTATAGCTTTTGTTTTTTAAAATTGCTCTCAGATTTACATCACTGAGCAATGGTTGTTTTAACAAAATAGCCAAAATACAGACCATCAAAAGTCCACCCTTGCTTTCTGAAACTCAGATAAGAAACATGCAAGTGCTTTTAGA